ATATATATATATATATAAAGAAATATAGTCTTAAGATGTGCCATATTTATTGGATAAAGTGCTCAATATCAGAGATAGAGCGTGTGTAAATATAAAAGTAAACACAGAAGTCAACACTTAGATGCAACAGTGTGTTTCATGCTAGATGCAATCGTCAGGCCACTGATTGCATCTAGCACGAAACAGCCTGTCGCCTCTAAGTGTTGACCTGTGTTGACTTCTATGTTCACTTTTATATATATATATATATATATATATATATATATATATATATATATATATATATATACGTGTGTGTGTGGGGGTGCGCGCGTGCGTGTGTGTGTGTGTGTGCGTGTGTGTATGAGTGTGTGTGTGAGAGATAGAGGTAATATCTAACTAATCAGGCTCATTTCAATAATATATTACAATTTACAATTTATGCCCAGATTGGCAAATCCGTGTTTGTCAAAGATTTTTATGTTTATTTCTCATACATGGATTAGAAAATATTACACTATTATCAGTGTAGAAACTGCCTTTATTAAAAAAAGAAATAGATAACATTCTCCATGGATTTGTTGGATAATCAAGGTATTACTGGAAATAAATCTTTAAATGCCAAATCCAAAATAAAATCTAATATATCATACTTAACATGTGCTTGTTTGTTCGCAGGAAAACGTGGGAACAAATCTGAAATAAGTGTAGTCTGAAAACTGCGTTTAAGCATGAAACAGACTGTTTGCTTCACCTCTGTGACAACTTTTATAATTACACAAGCTTTATATATATATATATATATATATATATATATATATATATATATATATATATATATATAGTCTGAAAAACTGCGTTGACGAATGAGAGTTTTTAACCGCTCATATATACTATTTTATTATATTATATATATATATATATATATATATATATATATATATATATATATATATATGTATATATATATATAATAATAATAATAATAATAATAATAAAAAGGCTTAAACACTAATATTCCATGGTCATAATTTATTCCATTAGAATCGTAAATATATATATTTTGCATATGTACATTGTATATTTACCACTAATATTATCATATATATATATATATATATATATATATATATATATATATATATATATATATATATATATATATACACACACAGTCTGTCTGTGGGTAGTAATATAAACATTAAGAGCTATAAAAAGAATGCGTATTTTTCGAACTTGGATTCGGTAATACTAACCCTACTCTCATCGGAGAAAATTATCTTATTAAAATTATATTATTAAAAATACAGATAACATTCTCGAAGGTTTCTTTTGGATAATCGAGGTATTATTTGAGATAAATCTTTAAAAGCCAAAATCAAAATTAATCTCTCCCTCTGCCTCCTCTCCCTCCTCTTTCTTTCTTTCTCTCTCTCTCTCTCTCTCTATATATATATATATATATATATATATATATGCAAGAAAAAAGTTACTATGTTTGTGTGACGAGTATTTCTAGATGTGTTCTGATTGTCTGAAGATCGCGAGAAACTCGAGCAACGAGACTTTGCTATATATATATATATATATATATATATATATATATATATATATATATATATATATATAAGACTCGTGTGTATATATATAGAGAAATATATATATATACATACATCATGCTATGTTTATGATTGCGAAATTGTATTCATGCGTGCGCGTCCGTATTTGGTATAGGTGGTCAATATTTCTTTACTTAATACGGGTTTATTTATAGATCATTGTGCAATCATCCATTTTTTGCGGGGGTGGGGACGCTCCCAAAGACATATCGTAGAAAATTTAACGTAGTAAAGAAATAACATTAGTTGTTCTTCAACGAAAACTAAATCGTAAAACTGCACATACATATACATATTTATGTATATGTGTATTTACACCCTTGTGCAACGTAATTGAGACAACCGCTTTAGTTTCTTTCTTTTACAATTCAGTCAGTTTTAGATCCACTGGGGTGACAAGGTGTAATCGATTTCCATTTTTCCTCAGATGATATCATTTGCAGTGGTGTGCAGTAATATGACTCTATTTCCGGGATGTATGATTAAATTTGTTTGGCATTGAAAAATAATGCGTCATTCGTGAATGCATCAGATTTTCATCACGCCCAATCACTATTGTTTCGACTGTCGATTAGTTGTCTTCCTGCCATTTTATGCAATGGACGTTACTCCAAGAAAGCGTACGAAAACTGTGGCGTTTCAGGGACACACTGGCAAGGCTTACCAGTGAGCAAATCAAAGTACTATAGACTGGCCCATATACTCTCCTGATTTAAATTCAAGCGAGAATCTCTGATCAAGCTGCAAGGAACGTCTTCGTGGAATGGACATACGAAGTACTTACATATGCAATGGGTCATGTTTCAATGGAACAAAATACGAAAAAGTGAATAATAACGGAATTATTCGTTTTGTTTCAATTAATTTGCACAGTGGTGTATATAGTTTCGCTGTCCTTATCTGTGTGTGACTGAGGGAACGGATTTTTTAAATACCAGGTTATTAAAACAAGTGTATAAATAATAAATAGGCATTAGTTTGCCCAACATTAATTGGATATACAAGCTAATAAAATAGTAATACACGACTGCATGTTAGTAGGTCCTCGCATGTCTGCAATAAGAACACCAATTTGTTTCATGTGCTGATTGAAGCCAATTTTATATTAAAATCGAAAGTGTATATTTCGGAGACTGTTTTGCAATGAAAATTAAGAAATCAACAAACGTCATATAACACATTTCCTTGTATGCATATAGCCATTTGTAATAAAAGCAAAAAAAAAATATCATAAAACGTTAATATGATATTCTAAATAGTACAAGTCTTGGCAGAAGAAATCAACTCATGTGTAGGTAATTAATCTCAATGGACTGTGTGCTTTCAGCTCATTTCTCTTTCGGCCTCAGTGCAAGTTTAGTAAAACTGTAACTCCTAAGACCACAAGCCAGGGACAGTGATGTCGATTCTTTGTTTTATGTTAAGTATAAATAAAAGCTTTCTAAAACCGCCTCGTTTGTTATGACGCATATATAAACCTATATACTGTATATACACTCGCGTATCATCCGATATTTTGAAGCTAATTTTAAGGGGGTTGCATTATACGTGAAGTATAAAATTAGCGTATGTACTGCTGGCCCTGGCTACGTCGTTGACCAAATTATATATCAATTTACTGTAGTCAAAAAGTACAGCAATATTTAAAATAAACATCGCCCGTTACACGAGTATATACGGTATGTTTCCAATTATAAAAAATATGTAGTAATTCTTGGGGGATCAGTTTATTTCTTAGTAACAACAGACAAATAACCCTCCACTTTTGGTCCAATAGAAACTAATTGTTTCCAATTAGTTTGCAGCAATTTTGGGGGATCATTTCATTACTTATAACAATAGAAAACCGGCCCCCTAATTTATGTCCAATAGAAACTTTAATTACCGTATATATTCGCGTATCATACGACTTTTGATGACCTAATTTTGTAGCTAATTTTAAGGGGGTTTCACCATACACGTAATATAAAATTAGCGTATGTACTGCTGGCCCTGACTTACGCAGTTGACCAAATTATATATCCATTTACTGCCGTCAGAAAGTACACCTGTATTTAAAATAAACATTATTTTGATAAAACTGATGTTTTACTTAAATGTATCCAATAACAGTGCATGTAATATTCCCATGTTAGGATCGTATTATAAAAAAATATGAATCTTTTGCATTGTTTGCGTTTATATGTTTAGCATATTCTCTTTCAGTTGTTTATGGCTGTACGCGTTTACGCAACGAGTAGAGCTTTTCTAACGATACTTTTATCATTCACTTTTACATTTTTAACATCTTTCACTAGAAGTTGGGATAAAGAGATGGAGGAAAAGAGATTAGTCTATAGTGATTTGGTCTCTCAAAAAGGAACTCGCATGATGCACGAGATACATGATAAAATCATTTTTATAAGTGAAAATTTTGGGTCGCACGATATCGCGCTTTACATAAGTATATATATATAGTATCTCTTTGGATATTGTTAATGCACTTGATCCGGAATAAGAACGGTGCTATGCAAGACGTAGCTAAGCTTATTAAATATCGAGAGGATGCTCCTGCCGTCGCACGAAAATAGGAATTGTCTTGCAAGTTATTCTAAGCGGAATAAGTTTGATCCAGGCAAATTATTCCACATTCTAGTCGTGTGTAAATCTAAAGTAAGATTGGGAATCCGTGCAGGTGAACTTGTAATTTTACATATATATGTATGCGTGTGCGCGCACATGCGTATGTGAAAAAAGGAAATTACAGAGGAAGTATTGGAATCAACCTTTTTTTTTTTTTTTTTCGAAGCGTTATTGAAAAGGTAATTTTAATATTAGGCATTTCCTCATTTGGAAACTTTCGGCATTTCTTAACCAATCATTCAGGGCGAATGTCGGTTGAAATTTATAAAAAGAAATATCAAAAAAATTCTGTTAAAACAATTTTTCAAGGAAACAGTTATCTCAAGGTCTTTTTCATTAGTCTTACTATTCTTGATGACGTTTTCTTCGCAACATTTTGTTTGAAGTACTGTGGAGCGTGAACATCTTGATTTAATCATTAATTTCTCTTCGAGTTATCTGCTATTAGTTTAGGTTATGGAACGCCCTCAAGTAATAGGGTTTCAGATGTTTTGTACATTTTCTTGCTAATGATTCTGTTGCGCCAGTCCACAATGTTCAGACATGACTCATCCGTGCAAAGGCATTTTTAATCATTAATAAGTGTTTGCAAAGCTTTGACAGTTGAGACATTCCTGAATGCGTGGTTCGCCATGTAAACATCGATATGAAAAACTCAGTCTGACGAGGATGTTTAAGAACATGAATTGATTTCTTAGTTTAATATATTTTTTTTATATTTTTAGCATCCTCTAATGCTAGACAAAACTACCACTATTGTAGCCTATTTTAAGCCCAACATACTTATCTCCGTACGATCATCGAAGTTAAGCAACGTCGAGCCTGGTAAGTGCCTAGATGGGTGTCCGCTTGGGAATACCAGGTGCTGTAAGCTTAAATGTGCGGGTGGTATGATGGATAATGGCTCGGAATTGTTAATAGTTCAACCGAGTAACAGTTCCAGTTCCAGTTCCAGTTGAGTTCGTTCACGCGCAAATCCCATTGGGAAATGTATGGATCCATCGCTTCTCCCCCAGATACAAATTAATTAGTAAAATGTTTCTTACTAAAACCATTATTATCTCCCAATAATGGTAAAAAAAAAACATGCGTACAAAATTGTTATGGTTGAGACCCATAATGCACAGGCACGTATCTCTTGACAAAAAGAAATCATGAGTAAATGCCTCCAAAGGCATAGAGTAACACAGTTTTATGGCCACAGACATCCATGTTATAAAATGCCGTTAAATCCTATAGATGCAAAAGCTACACGGCCACAACAACCGCGTCGGTATTCACCCGAATTTGTTTTTTTATACGTAGGTGAAAGCCAACCATTCACTGTATAAATATAATAATGGGGAACAATAAAACTTATCCGTGTTATTTTCAAACTTGTTTTAACATCACTTCGGACATGGTTCCATTAAAATAATATGATTGCACTTACATTTTCTTACGAGATATATCTTATAAGCTGCAACATGTTTACAGTCAAATATAAAAAAAATATTAAATGGTGTCCTAGAGTAAAATAATTGATCGTGCAGCAGTGATAAATTTCTAATTGAGAAATCGCTTCAATCAAATATTACGAGGATGGACTGGAAAGTTTATAGTCTGAGAATGAAAGAGTTATTCTAGAGCTGTGTAATCTTGTATGCATTAATTTAAGCTCTTATTGCATTACATGCATTGCATTAACTGCGTTGTTTTTTTGTTTTTTTTTTTTCAAGTAAACTGACAGCTTATTGTTCAAAGAAGACAGTTAATCCCGTTACTCAAACAAGTCATCAACAGCAGATATGACCTCATCATCAACGTCTAGTCTCAAGGGTTTTTGGCCGCGTGGCTTCGAAGAACAACACCAATAAACAAGGTTTTATTTTTGCTTTTAAACTAGACTTACTCTCTCAAATTTGTCTCAAAATGCATATCTGCTCAATTTTTTTCATCTTTTTTTTTTTGAACATTCGAAATTTAGATTAAAAATCTTTATTTTTTTGCATCAGCGTTGTTTTGGAATGGTTAACTGGCAGTTAAATCGATGTAGTGACAGCTTAGGTCATAGGAAGTTATCAGACGGAAGAACAGAAATGACGTCATTTTTTAAAAAATCTTAAGTGAACAAATTTAACTACACGATAATAATTTTAAAATTGTCAAATACATTCAGCAATCTTATATTATATTTTTAGGTACTTTAGCTTCATAGTCTTACGTTTGAAGATGATTTCTGGAAAAATAAAATTTAAATTATTAACACTAAAATAAATTTACAGTTTCATAACTAAGAGTGAGATAAAATTTTATAAGCGAGGTACCTAATTTTTACTTACCTCTCTTATGAAATTTTATGATATTATTTTTATTTATTATTAATTATTATTATTATTTATTATTATTAATTTTTATATCTAAGTTATGAAAAAAAAATTGGCAACAGAAATAATATAAAAATTAATAATTAAAAAATATAAAATTTAATCAATAAGATAGGAACCTAATCACGGTGAAATAATGGTAAGAGGTTTGGATTGAGGAATCGGAGGGACTAGTTCGAATTCCAGTCGAACACATTACATTTACTTACGTACTAATACTCTTGGGAAAGGTAAGAATTAGTATGAAAGGTATGGGTAAATAGTAAGACAGACCGGTTTCTATAGCCTTGGATAGCAACTGGTCTACCGAAGAAAGTGATGGCAACCAACTCCTGGGATAAAAATCTGACTCGTCAGTCATGTATCGAAAGATACATGATCGCCTAAGCGTGTATCACGCATGGCACATAATTGACTGACCTAATAATTGTAGATAGTTCTCATTTTTATGAAATGTTATTTTTTAATGTGTTAATTCATAATTTTTTCTTATTTTTAATATTAACTGTTTTGTTATCATCCATAGAATTGAAACTAAAAAAAGAAAAGAATTATTAATTGCAGTATGTCTCTCGTTGAAAATCAATAAATCAATTATATTTTTAAAAATTAATTTAAAATATTTATTGAATTAGAACTTTAAAAAAAATTCTGAAAATGCAACGATGATGGACAGGGTCAGACAATTCAACACTTGTTCGTAGTACGAAAACTAACATTTTCTGAGATTAGTTTATTGTCGTAAGGAGAAACAACACTTAAAACACGTGACATTAAGGTCACTTTCATATCTGGAAAATATATATGCAGACTTTAAAACAGTGTTAAATTCTTTTTTTAAATACATGTGTGTCACAGATTCTAACAAGCTTTATATTTATGATCCGTAATGAGAGATCTACTTAATAGTAGCATTCTCTAAATTGCACGGATTGAAACTTAATTTTAAAATATATAAAATCTTTATCACATTTTGTATTTAAGATTGAAAAGAAGACAACAATTCTTGTAAAAATGCATTCTTTATCAGAAAAATATTTTTCTTTCAGACAATGGTGTCCTTATAATATATTATCCATAAAAGTCATTAAGTCCTGTCCTAGTTTTATTGGGTTCTGAAAGTTACAATTCAGAACTGAATTTTGGGTAACTGTGTGTTTCGATTTTACCTAAATTGATGATTTATATTCTACATATTCTTCTGATTTTAACTAAAATAATCAATCGAATTTCTCAAGTGTTCATGTAATTAAGTAAGGGATGTAACAGATGTTAGACAAAAGGTAAGGAATGTAACAAAAAAATAATTAAAAAACAAATGTAAAAAATGAATAATTTTACCATGACATTCTAAAAATAAAAACATGACTAAAATAATTTTTCATTTGTGAATAATTTCTGAAATTTTCATTAAAATCCGAGAATTATTTGTTTTTTAAAAAGTTTCCAAATCAATGTGGTTTTCTCCTGAAAAAGGCGCTAAAACACTAAAGTTAAGTATTACAGAGACTGCTGGCATAATGAAAACTAAATTTTTTAAACAAAATATCGAACGTGCTAGAAAGAATAAAATATTAAATAAAACAATAAAAAATACTTTTGTATTTCCTCATAATAATAACATAAACATTTTGACGACAAAACATTGCTTTTTTGGGGGTTTTTTTCCGACGACCTAGTGGTGATACCAAACCGCGGTAATAAAAAGTAAAACTTAATGGAGAATTGTACGTGGCTCATGTCGATTAAGGACTTTTGGATTTTATTAAGAATGATGTCAATTTCCACAGCTAGAATTTTTACACAGACGGTATACAGAACGAAAATGCCCTTGAAATAGGCTGCTATTCCATAGACAACAACAACAATCACAACCACGATAAGCCTTTTAAAAGGGATAAAGTTTCTATTCGCAAATAAGCTCAATTTAAATGTTATTTTACATTTAAATGATCGAATGAATCGGGCCAATTTCTTTGTATTTGATAAATTCGAACCTGGCGAATGTAATGATGTACATGACGAAATTTGAAACTAATTAATGTTTTTTTTTTTTTTGGCAATGTAGACGAATTAACTTTTTTGTAATGTAAAAGCCCGACAGAGATCATATTCAAAGAAAGAATATGCTGAATTAATGTGTTAAATAAAGGTGTTTTATTTAGAAAATAACTTGCTATTCGTTCAGATGTTGTCCACTAATTTTTATTTAAATCAAACGAAGATCCATATCAGTCTGGAATTTTAAGCTTTATAAGAGTTATACAATTTTGTAAAACGAGTATCTTCATTTCTAGAATTGCGAGATCAATTATTTTGATTAAACATAGCAAACAGCGTAGACCCAGCGGTGAGCTAAAATCTGGACCACTAGAGGTCTCATTATAGATTTTTTTAATAAAAAAACAAACAAACAATTAGCCTAGTAACAAAGTGGATATTAGTTTAACAGGTAAGGAAAGTTTAATCAATATCAGTTACACAGTTTGATTCAGACAAACAGATATGTATGCATGTATGTATGTATGTATGTATATATGTATGTATGTAAGTTCATGTACTGCAATTATACATGTTTGCACATCTATCTATATACATATATATACATACATACATACATATATATATATATATATATATATATATATATATATATATATATATATATATATTCTAATATACAGGTTTACGTATTGTAAAATATCACTATAATTGCATTCAAAATGGTGAATTAGATACCTATATCTATCTTTCTGACATCGTTAATTTTAAATTATAATTATTATTTAATAGTGGTGTCATCTATCTGTTGGAGGTTAATATATCTATATATCTATCTATCTATCTATATATATATATATATATATATATATATATATATATATATATATATATATATATATATTTATATGTATATTTATATGTATATATATACACATACCGGTTGTAACAGCAAAATTCTCTATATCGTGTAACAACATAATTATCCTTCCTAGGTATTGTTTAATATCAAAGAAACCACAAAACTAAATGAGTTTCTTCTATACAGGTTTTCAGCTAAGTCGGGTAGGCATCTGAATGATATTTTTCGTAATAATCACTGAAAAGCCACTTGAATTATTCAACTAGAAAATGAATAGTTTAAGGTCGATCTGCGTCATAGCCACTATCTTCTCAAATGGAAAATGTTGAGAAGAAAAAGTACATTCAGACCTTCAGTAAAGATACCAACATTCATACTCTGGCTTATATCTTCAAAATCCATTCAAGAAGAATCAAGAGAACGGTGAATAAACTTAAAAAAGAGGAAACGGTAGAGAGGAGAAGCTGAATAATTTAATTGATTTTTCAGTCATTCTTACGACAAATGGTGCCAAGATTGCTAAACTTCTGACCTGAAAACCTGGAAAAAAGAAGCTTAATTAGTTTAGTGGTTTTGTAGATATTAAATATTTTGTGGAATGGACAATTATACAGTTTCACGTTTTGGACAAATTTGCTGTTAC